GAGAAAAACGTGAGTGTAAACAAAGAGAGTTGCCTTAGTGTCGAGGCCGACGGCAAAACAATATTACCATCGCCAATACGTAAGTTGAATAGGGAGGGCAATGCAACCCACTGTAGATTTCCGTTCTATACTGTGCCAAGTCGATGTATATCAGGGCTAGGACGGCTGACAACCCGTGTACTCACATACCGTCAGGTTTTGTGCAGCCTAATTTGTGTGTTCTTGTGTCTCTTTGCAAGCTAGGAGCAGTTCAAATTATGTTGTGTACCTGAATAATGGCATTACCTAACACACTCCCGTAATGTATTTCTCTTTGACCGACATGGGGCCTTCAACAACAATAAACCATCTCAGACCATTAATTACCACAAATAGGCTGCAGTAGAAGTAACAAATTCCCACTACAGGCAGCACACACTCCACCAGTTAATCAATAACTCTAAACCTACTCATATGCAAAATTCTTTCCATCAACTTACTATTTGTACGCCTGTACTACATACATTTGATCACTTAACTCTGCATAAACCTCCTCTCAAAACGTCTCCTATCAGGCCTCACAGAACACATGAGCCAGACACTTTAAGCACAGATCACTCTGACGTTCCTCATGTCCAATCTAATCACTATGCAAAAACTCAGTGCACATAAACCGGGTTTCCACCAAAATCTGAATTAATTACCTGTGGAATATGATAGTAACCCTGTTTTATTAAATTCAGTGTGCTTCTCAGTAAAATCCACTTAATCTACCCATCAAACTATATAAATTACAGAATAACTAACTCATGATGTATAACCTGTGACCCTATCTCAAACTTTGTTTTACCTATAGAATCTCCATTCTATTGGGAATCCCACAGCATACTCAGCAAAAATGACTCCATAAGCTCTGTACTTTGAATTACTCATTTTTGCTTATTATTAAAGATTGATGCCAGTTCTTCCTGCCCGGACCCGGGCCTTTTCCAAGTAGTGCACGGCCTTGGCTCCCTGTCTAAGAGGAGGCATCTGAGGCCTTAAGTCTCCATGGAGGAGGCCAGACAAGTACCCCGTACATCCTCTTGGGACCAACTGTCCCCAGGCCTAGCAACATTCTCACGCCCTTCATGGGGCTCGTAGGGGAGAAGCTGGGCTCTTATTTGGTTCTGCGCATTCCACCCCAATGGGGAGGTAATGGGGAATGACCCAGTCCTGTGAGTGCAGATGCTCAGGCCTCAGGCACCTCAGGCACATGCCCAGCCTAGAAAGGGGCTGGGCATGGTTGTCGATTTCATTTGTGCCTTAAGTGTTATTTGTTTACTTAATTTTTACCTTGAACTATATCAGATTGACTTAGTTAATTATAAGTTAATTGTTTATAGGGCGCTGCCCATAATGATCATGCTACAAAGGGGACTGTTTGGCATGTGTTCACCTTAACCACTGTACTTACTTTGCACCAATCTCTGTATCATGCTCACCAAATTAAAAAATTAAATAAATAACATAAAATTACTATGAAGGACTTTTAGCCCACACCCCCGCAGTCAGGTGAAAGGTTTTTATTTATGGTCACATACCGACCATAAGGCTTATTCAAACCCTACCACGGGCGGGGATAGAACCCCGCTTATCAGAGATTCGCAAAAACTCGCAGACCTGTCGCGTTAGCCAATGGCACCGCAGCAAAGCCACAATAAGATTAGTCCCAACTAGGTATATTTCTACACCCATAGGAAGGTTGCATAGGCACCAACTGTGACCACAAATTCAGAACTTTTTACAGACGAATCTTAGTAGCGTGTCCGTGACGAATCTTGCTTCAAGTTCCCCTCTAAAGCCCGTTTTAACATGATACGGAAATCGGTAAACGACACGATTGTATGTTTGTTGGCAATCGTGTCATTAACGATTTCGGAGTTTTTCAATAAGGTTATTATCCGTTCTCCCGTGGCTCTTCATGAGAGCAAAGAAAGGGATCTAGTGGAATGGTAACAGTAAATAGACACTCGCTAAGCTTTCATAGAGACACTTGCAAAACGAAGCGATTTCTCAAAGAAACAATAATCTCACCATTAATAATAAACTCGAAATGAAGTGATTTCCACTGAGACAAACACAAAAGTATGTTTGTTTTACAAGATCATGAAATTAAGTTTCTGAGTATCCCAAATATTCTCAAATTTGGAGGGGAGTATATTTAAATAGGCGCGATATTGTCTTGAATGTAAAAAATAATAACAATATACACTATTTTATGTTTTTGTGAAGCAAGATAAATAGTGTTATCACAGTATTTGCATTCACTGAAAAATGAAATTAGCTGTGGTTCTATCAGCAGAAAGTCGTTCAAAATATATCCAGTACTAATCTCAATATGGTCCTAGTGTCTCTCAAATGTCCTTTCTTTCGTTTTTTTTTTCCTTTTGGCTTCTCCGGATTATCGATCTTATTGTCTGTAACTCGATCAAAGGATGAAGGCCTGTATAAAGGCTTTGTTAGATAGACTAAAATAAAAACGCGCACAATCGGCAATATAATATAAAGACGTGCAAATTGCATTAGATAGGTTCCATAAAGAACTACTCCAGCATGTTTAAGAGAGGGGATACCCCTTATAATATATCAAATATATTTCCGCGGCGAGATTATATTTTAGAAAAATTGTGCGTTCTACAATAAAAGAAGGCTATATACATGTAATACTGGAATAAGGGTTTGTGCAAAGATTATAAAATCTCCTAGCACATGTGTATCTGCTCTCAACAAGTCAGAAAAGTGATCTTCTACGTAAGATAACATTCAGAGAGGAGGGGATAAACGTTGTTAATGGCAAGTTGAGGGTGGTTTAGTGAAGTACGGCCTTTCTTTGCTTTACTAAAAGGTTGTTTGGCTAGGTTTCTGGAAAGAAGGTTCTATAGAACGGGCCCCGGTCCAGCCCGGATTTGCTCTCGAAGTTACATCGAGTTTGCTGAAGGTATTCCCCGATCAACGGCGCCTAACCTCAACGAAGAATCCCGTCTTTCTGAACACTATAATTAGGTATCAGCTTTGGTCTAAATGCCTCACAGTGTCCTGTATGGTTACACACATTAAAATACGTGCGCTTATTATAGAAAAACATATTGGAACGCATAGGTACGCCAGAGGAGGAAACGTAGTAACACGTTAGAGAGCGTAGTAGAATAATACTCTATTGCCAGCACACGAAAATTGATAAGCTAGAGAGCAAAAGATTTTCATACAAGAGATGTCAAACCTTCCCAAAGTAGCAACATTTCAATCGGCCAGAACGTCAAAGTCTTTGATAATATGTTTGGACAGGTTTTGTCTCTTGTGGACAGTACCAAAATCGCAGGGGGGCCTCATATATCTGCATTCTAACCACATATATGCGATAATTAGCTGAAATCTGTCATAGTAGTTATATCGGGCCTGGCCACGTAGGTAGTCAACAAGGGACAGAAGGAAGTGTTCGAACTCCCCTCTTGTAATTGTCCATCTCAGCTCTGGCTTCATCAAAATGCCCAAAGTCAACTAATGCTGGTCGGTCTCAGTCTTTGTCTTCAGGCGGCAAGCTTTCCTAAGTGTTTATTTCTACAGTATTCACACAGCGTTATCTCCTACCTTCCTATGGTCATCTCTCTCACTCACCTCTGTTATCTCGGTGGTATTCAACGTAATAATTTAGCCAGACCTTTGTTTTTCTCATGACCTCGAGCAGACGTGGCTTTCCCCCAGACGCCACCCTGCGTGCGTCGGGTAATTATACCAGCTTTGTCCAGCTTACTAGCGAGCAAACTTGATCACTCAGCGAAGTTGGTATTATGACATGGGTATACAGTACCGACCAAGCAAGTATTAGACAATGTGGAATTCCGACCTGTATTCCACAGTGGACGCAAGTCCCTTCACTGTTTGCTGCACCTTCCTAACGGTACAGTTAATAAATGTGTAATGCTTCCTGCCTGTGCTGCACCGATTCTTCAAGATACCGATGCATCCATCTCCTACACGCCCTCTATGATAATGGATCCTGATTAGCTTTGTTTTTGTATATACTTGTACCAGCGCATTCCCATTATACACGGCCAATTGATAACTGGAGAGTCTAGCAGCGGTAATGTCCTTGGTCCCCTGCACTTCCTCATATACGCATCAATGATTCCAAAACGTCTTATCCCAACACCTGAACCCCATTATGTACTTTGGACGACAGACTTATGTCGCGATCTCCTCACCCTGTTAATCTTTGCCACCCTCATACACATTGTTATAACGGAGGAGCTGATCGTAACAATACGGATTAGGATGAGAGCCAATAAACTTACCTTATAACAGCGCAACTGACAAAATCTACTACTATTTATGGTTTGGCTTAGCTAGAGCGAGGAGTTGCACAACATTAACACTTGAGATCCCGCAACACTCTAATTGCACTCAGACATAATGAAGGGCTAATTCCTAGGCTAGTAATCGGTCAACCTGATAATTTCAGCACCCTTAGTCCAACACATAACCAAAAAAAAGATTACCAATAAACGGTTGGGATCACTGTCAGATATGATACTACTTGCCGCAGCAAAATGCACAGCCTTTTTCACACACTGATACCACTCATTGCATCCATTACTCGTCACCTTATGCTAATTTTGATTAGGTGATCCACCTGCTGCAACACACCTAAAGCATAATAACCCAAACAATAGCCGCAGTATGAATAATCATAAATTCCCCTCCCAGGCAACCCCCCCCCCCTCACTCTTCATAGATCTAAACTTAACTCGCTGTTCAGTGCATCCACACTTACTACTGTGCAATCTACATCTACAGGGACCATATAATTACAACTGTTAACCCTTGACCTAAAACGAATTCGTTGATATGTTTGTGACAAGAACCCACAGGCATATAAAACCAGATCAAACATCTCTACGACATTCCCTGTGTCCGGACCTAAACCTTTAGACAAAAATTCAATGTATGTCAAAGGCCCTAAAAATGTGGAACCACCGTACCTGAACACTCTAGAACTGCAGACACATCCCATAAACTTCAAATAACCGACCTATTAAGAAAACATCTTATCTCCTGTACACCTCTGCGAGTCAACTTATACACGGAATACCACCTGGTGGTTCCACTTACACTCTCATTCACCCCCAATTGACCATAAAACAAGAAAATATCAATATCCAATCTTAAAATAATGAAGCCTAAATAGTCATAAGGTTGACTTGTGATATCCAAGTACTAAAATTATGTATAGTGCCACAAACAAAAAAAGCATTCTCATTGCCTAAAAGACTCTTCTACAAACTAGCATTTAGTCACCTTGCATATAATACCAACGCTTAACCTCATAATTTGTAATATTTTTAATTTAAGATTTTATCTAAGTCTGCCCGAAATGCTAGCCTATGCTCAGGTTGTCTCTAGGTGGGGCACCTCTGTAATGTATTATTTTTACTACATGTAACTACGACAATAACCAAAATTCGGTATAATCTCAGCATTGTAATCATAATGGGACTAATAACTTTGATTGAATTTGAATATATTCATGATATAATGTCTTTGTCCATGTATGGGGAACATCTACGAATTTGAATGCATTTATGCAGGGTCTGTAATACTACCCTCTTTGTACTCACCTATTTATGGTTGCGCTACTCTTCGGAGTTCCCTCTTCCTGGGCAGTGTGATTCACATCGACTATACCTGTTCTTAAATATCTATTGTTACCGTATTTTGCATCATCCAACTTCGATCTATAGAGCGTTCCTCTTCTGACCTGGAGCTCTTCTCGGACCACGCTTACGATCCGCCTCTCAAACAGGGACTTGCCATGTCTACTAGTTATATTCCCCTATTTTCAGTTATTTATTTGTAGTTCCTAATATTATTACCTGTTGTTTTCTGCCCGCTAACGTGCATCATGGTGTCGAGCTCCTTAAGCCCGTCAGTTTAAAGCCTTATCTACGGAACTAATCTCTCACGCCAAAAATCGCCTTTTCCAACTTTTATCTGGTCCTGAGTCTCTAGTACTGTAAGCTTGGTCGAATCCCTAGTTGTTACATTTGCTCATTCCAAGAACTTAGCCAGACTCAAATACTTACTCTCCTCCTTCCTGTTCTAATCTGGCTCTGTCATGTGTTTATGTCGCATTTTCTTTCGTGAAATTTTTTTAATAACTTTTAAAATGTAAACAGTTTATGAGAGACAGGGGTATCTTCACCTCTCATCTAATAGTCATGCTGGAGTTTCATCTGAAATCCCAATTCTTTCCATGTGCTCCCACAACTCTTCTGTAATTCTTCCCTATAACTTACATGCTATGCCATGTCGCAGTGGTTAATGCTACCTGATAAATTAGACACATGTGCAATCTTGGGCTATCTTTTATTAAGCGAAACGCTTCGCCACAACAGTGGCTTCATCAGTCCATACACAGGAGAAACTGTGAGAACATGTTTCAAGTTTCTCATGTGTATGGACTTGTGAATAGAACTGTGTGGCGAACAATTCGACTTTCCATAAATAAAGAGGATACCCAAAGGAGATGCTCATTGTCTAATTTATCAACGTGTCGGTTCTGGTGAAACATTCATTCTACAATTAATGACTACTATTGCTTTTGTCCCATTTTGTTTCACATTTGCTAGCTGTGCTTCCTATACCTTTGGTAGCTGTCCTGTTTCATATTGACGTGGTGACAAAGTGCGAGCAAGTGGCTCTTCACCACATTTCGACTCCTTTTAGACTGTTCACTGATTAGATGTCTCCTTTCTTTTGACTTCTAGATATCAGTTCATAAGAAAGGTCTCTCACCTCTTCTTTGTTTGTGTGCTTATTGTGTTCCAGTACACAATGGAGCACTGATTTTTTTTTCCGTGGTAACTTTTACCTGTTTCCAATTGGTATATATATCTTAAAATCTTCTTGTGTCTAACAGACCTTCCTGGATTTATCGTGCTCCCGCCATCCTTACTCTTCAGCCTTTCTCCGCGGATACCACTTACCCAGTGTTATTCTTCTTTTTTGGTGCAATTTCATTTCGTTTCTTCTGGCTTTCATATTTAGTCTTACGGTGCATTGTCATTCCAAAATTCTCGATTCAGCCTCTTTTCAACAAAGGTGAAATGAACTCGTTTTTGGCTCTTGTTAGCCTTCCGTTTCTTCGGCATATTAGAGTTGGCCTCTCCGAACTGCTTGGTAAACATAGGGATGACCTCACTCGCTCTTTGACCTGTACTTCTACGGCCTGTCTATTAGGAGAGTTTTCCTCCGCCTCTCGACACTCTCAAGCTGCATACACTACTCTTTTTGAAAATTACTGCGTACCTGCATTACTTCTCTTTCGCAAAGTCAGACTTGTTCCTTCCATCCCGCTTTGTGTTTCATGTACCTCCCCAGTAGGTAGTTCAAGGTACGGTATTGCAGCGTCCCTGTCATTGGGAGTTACTTGAGCGTTAACAATAGGTTCTACCTTCGTTACCTTGTTCCCAGCACGCTTTTTTAATGTCCCTGAAATGTGAACTTATGAAAGTTTTTTCCCCCATTAAAACATTAAAAATAATTAACCTGCCGGTTCAGGCCCTTCATTGTTGATCCAGATTCTCATAATATTTTCCGTCTTGTAGGGTGGACGGTCTTTCTTGATCAGTAGTTTCGGTAACTGTGGGCTCTTCTAGGCCCCCGCCCTCTTTTTTCGTCTAGTCCAATCATCACTGTTTATTTATGTTTGGTAAGTGAGTTGTATATCCGCTATCTCAACCTTCGAGTCTCTTATTTTGGAGCTTCGCACTTCTGTACGTCTATCTTTACCATTCTGTATATTCTCATCGTTTATTCTCCTTTCTCTTCCCAAATGGTCTAACTGGTTCCTGATTAACAACGCTACTCTCTTACCATCTCTCTGTTTCTGATTGTCCTTTCTCATTCCTTTTTATACATAACTTCTAGAAAACAATTAGAACATGATTTGTCTAACTTACTTATATTATGCTACCCAAGTAATATGCTTTTTTATCCTTTTGACTCATGTTGCTAATGGTAATTGTCATTACTACACCACCACTAGCATCCCCTATACACTCATCTATACTTTATTGTATTTATTACTACCCCCCACCAAATTCTGATCGACTAGGACATTAGCATTTTAATACCTCACTCTATATTTATTGTAGTAATACCACACCACTGCATTATACTCCACTCTAAATTTATTGCTAATCCTACACCACCACTAGCATGATCCGCCTCACTCTATTTATTGTATTACTACCACCAGACCACTAGATTTTACCTCACTATAGAATTTATTGTATCTACTACCCACCACCACTAGCATTATACTCACGTCTAATTCTATGGTATATTCTCCCCCCCCATAGAATTATTACCTACTCTAAATTTATATGTAATTACTACACCACCACTAGCATTATACCTCTACTTAATTTATTGTATTATCCACCACCACTAGCATTATTACCTCACTTTAATCCTATATATACCCTCTGTGTCCATGTAATTGTTTGTATCGGCTTGGACAAAAGCTCTGGATGAGCGAACACGTGCTGCCACAAATTAAAAGAATGTACATTAGTTGATTGTGTCCTCGTTTTACTTTACATCATTGCCAGTAATTGGGAGTTTTGAATCTTCCAATTATTGAGGTGGAATTACCTTCACTATTCTTCAGAATTACACACGTTTGGTTTCTCCTGTATATTAATGTGCCTCGGGGGCACTGAAGGGTAGAAACCCAGGGAGGCAAGGCACCGGGGTGGTGAAAGGGGGGGGGAAAGGGTGAAATAAAAAAAATGAAGAAGGAACAGAAACACGAGACAGGAGAGAGAAAGACAACCCAGAGGAGAAAAGGAGAGAGGAAAGGGGAAGAAGAAGAAGAAGAAGAAGAAGAAGAAGAAGAAGAAGAAGAAGAAGAAGAAGAAGAAGAAGAAGAAGAAGAAGAAGAAGAAAAAAAAAATGAGGATTCAGGTTAAGTCATGGGTGTTCTGAAGTTGGAGCATTTTACAATGTAGTGGGAGAGGAAGGCATCTACAGAGACGAAGCCAGGGCTAAGGTTCATACAAGGAAAGTTGTGTGACTATAATTTCTTTTAGAAACGTTGTAGAACATTGATTTTTGTACCATTGTGTTGCCAAAGAGTTAAGCTATTTTTCTGTATGAATAACTCATTTTCCATAATTTTTCGATTTTTTTTTCTTGAGAGCGCTGAACGGCTCCAGCCTCCCCCCTTGATGTTTGTCAGCTGTACTAGGGATCCCATCTCCGGACATCAGTATGAAAGCCGAGTGCGCTGGCGATCCAGCTACGATGTTCCTTACAAGGAATTATAATCATTTATAACATGTATGGTGATGCCTCCTGAAATAGCATGCGTGCTCATATGCCATGAATTTTCCATTTTTTTCCATTTTATTTAGTTATTTCTTATATTTTTCTAATATAATAATTCACGATTTGGCATCATTACAGAGTGGGAAGAGCTAATATAGAATCGGAGAACCAAATCGGGAACCTACAAGAATTACAGACTAGTGTTTCCCTACTGGACATCTGGACCAACACCATATCCCCTTTAAAATCGGGCATGATCACAGATAATACCACAGACCACTACCCTACCTTCCTCATAACTAATCTAGGTAAATTACCCCAAGACACTACTAAAATCACATTCAGACTTCATAATGAGGCAGCCATTAATAACTTCACAACAGCAATGACAAACATCGACTGGCACTCTGAGCTAGAAATCTATACAGATGCTGACGAATGTGTTAATAATTTTCTAAAAAAAGACCCAATTCCTCTATAACAAGCACTGCCCTAAAAAAAACTAAACGGATGACAGCTAAGAGACTGAACAGTCCCTGGCTAACACCCAGCATCCTCAAATCCATAAATACAGAGCACCTATATGAAAAACAGTACAGAATGGGTCACATAGCCAGAGACCAAACAAAACGTTACTCGTCGATCCTAGCCAGCCTGGTAAGAAGGGCTAAAAAATTGTATTATGAGAACAGATTATCCAACTTAAAAGGTGATATACTAGGAACAAAAAAAGATATCAGGAAATAGCATAAATGAACTAACAAAACCAGATGAACCCCAACTCCCACCAACTGAAACAACAGACTAAATGATTTCTTCTCCACCATAGGAAAAAACCTTGCCAATAAAATCCCAAGCTCAAATACCACACACAATGACTACCTCACTGTCAACTACCCAAACACACTGTTCTAGGCTCTGACTAACCCAACAGAAGTCTACCTTATTATCAGCACACTGAAAAAAATACAGGAGATTTAAATACCTTACCACCCTTTAAATACAAAAAAACGTCACAAGTGCTGTCACCAATCACTGCAACACTCTTTAACAAATCCATCGAATCCTCTACCTTCCCTACAGTTCTCAAAATAGCGAGAGTCACTCTGATACATAAACGAGGAGACCAAACAGACTTGAATAACTATAGGCCAATATCCAACTTACACCCTCTCTCTAAAATCTTCGAAAAATTAATTCGTAAGCGAATCTATTCCTACCTCATCTCCCACAACATACTCAACCCCTGTCAGTTTGGGTTCAGGCCTAATAAAATACGAATGATGCTATTATACACATGCTAGAACAAATATACACTGCACTCGAGAAAAAATAAGTCCCACTGGGGATCTTCATTGATTTACGTAAAGCTTTTGATACAGTTGACCATGATTTGCTCCATATAAAACTGTCATGCTATGGTACAAGAGGGCACTCCCTCAACTACCTAAAGTCATACCTCGGCAACAGAAGCCAATATGTGTACACAAATGAAGCAAACTCTTCTGCACAGCCAATTACAGTTGGTGTCCCACAAGGAAGTGTCCTTGGCCCTCTTCTCTTTCTCGTTTACATAAACGACCTACCAAATGCAACGCAACTACTCAAGCCCACACTATTTCCAGATGACACTACATACGTCTTCTCTCACCCAAGCCTAGTCATGCTAGCCAATACTGTAAATACCGAATTACAGAAAATATCTACCTGGATGATGACTAACAAATTTACTCTCAACACTGACGAAACCTATTTCATTCAGTTTGGAAACAGAGCTACGAATGTCCTTCTTAACATAATGATAATGGATCACCTATCACAAAGCTCACAGAGGGAAAATTCTTAGGAATCCACCTTGATAATAGACTCAAATTTCAAACACATGTACAACTAATTTCCAAGAAAATTTCCAAGACTGTAAGCATACTATCGAAGATACAGTAATATGTTCCACAGTCAGCCCTTCTGGCCCTATATCACTCACTCATTTACCCCTATCTCACCTATGGAATTTGTGCATGGTGTGGGATGGAGATGGGGTGACACAGAGTGAGTCAAATTCGGTGGGTTGGCGCCGCCGGTGCGCCGCCTGTAGGGGAGGCGGAGAAACGTGAGTGTAAACAAAGAGAGTGTGAGGCCGACGGAACACATATTACCTCCCTAATACGTAAGTTAATAGGGGAGGGCAATGCACACCCACTGTAGATTTCCGTCTATACTGTGCCAGTCAATGATATATCAGGGCTAGGAGGTACAACGTGTACTCACAACGTCAGGTTGTGCATCCTAATTTGTGTGTTTTGTCTCTTTGCAGCTAGGAGCATTCATTATGTTGTACCTGAATAAAGGATTACCAACACACACCCGAATGTCTCTTTGACCACATGGGGCTCAACAACAATAAACCATCTCAGACCATTAATTACCCAACAAAAGGCTGCAGTCAGAATAACAAATTCCCACTACAGGCAGCACACTCCACCAGTAATCAAAACTCTAAACCTACTCACTATACAAAACTTCCATACTTACTATTGTACCTACTACATACATAGAACACTTAACTCTGATATAAACCCTCCCTTCAAACGTCTCCTTATCAGCCTCAACAGAACACATGACCATAACATAAGGCACAGATCACTCTGACGTTCCTCATGTCCATCTAACACTATGCAAAAACTCAGTGCACATAAAAGGTCCAAAAATCTGGAATTAATTACCTGTGAATATGAAAGAAACCCTGTTTATAAATTCAAGTCTCTTCTCAAAAACCACTTACTCACCCACAACTAAATAAATACAGAATAACTATCTCATAGATGTATAACCTGTGACCCTATCAAACTTTGTTTACCTAATAGAATACTCCATTCTATTGAATCCACAGCAACTCAGCAAATGACCATAAGTCCTGTCTTTGAAATACTCATTTTTGCTTATTATTAAAGATTTGCCAGTATTCTCCCGGCCCGGGCCTTTTCCAAGTAGTGGCACGGCCTTGGCTCCCTGTCTAGGGAGCATCTGAGGCCTAAGTCTCCCATGGGAGGAGGCACAAGTACCCCGTCATCTTTGGGACCAACTGTCCCCAGGCCTAGCCACATTCTCCGCCCTCATGGGGCTCGTAGGGAGAAGCTAGGCCTCTTTGGTCTGCCATTCCCACCCCAATGGGGGTAATGGGAATGACAGTCTTGTGAGCTGCAAGCTCAGGCTCAGGCACCTCAGGCACCATGCCCAGCCCTAGAAGGGCTGGGCATGGTGTCGATCATTTGTGCTTAATTGTTATTTGTTTACTATAATTTTTACCACTGAATATATCATTGCTTAGTTAATCTTAAGTTAATTTTAGGCCTGCCCATAATGCTCTGCATACAAGGGACTTTTGGCATGTTACACTTAACCACTGTATTTCTTTGCACATCTATGTATCATGTCCAAATTAATAAATAAATAAATAAATAACATACTATGAAGGCTTTTACCCCACACCCCGCAGTCAGGAAAGGGTTATTATGGTCACCACCGACCATAAGGCTTATCAAACCCTACCACGGGCGGGGATAGAACCCGCGATCAGAGTCGCAAAACTCCAGACCGTCGCGTTAGCCACTGGACCAGCAAGCCACAATAAGATTCGTCCAACTAGGTATATTTCTACACCATAGGAAGGTTAGCATAGGCACCACTGTGACCACAAATTCAAATTTTTACAGACGAATCTCTAGCTAGCGTGTCCGTGACGAACTCTAGCTCAAGTCCCCTCAAAGCCGTTAACATGACTCACGAAATCGTAATGACACGATTGTATGGTTTGTTGGCAATCGTGTCATTACGATTTCGTGAGTCATAAGGCTTATTATCCGTTCTCCCGTGGCTCTTATGAGAGAAAACGGATCTAGTGTAATGGTAAACTGTAATAGACACTCGTAGCTTAAGAACACTGAAAAGAAGCGATTTTCTCAAAGAAAAACAAAATCTCCACCATTAATAATAAACGAATTGAAGTGATTTCCACAACAAACACAAAAGAATGATTGTTTTACAAGATCATGAATTAATTTTTGAAGTATCCCAAATATTCTCAAATTTGTGTGGGGTAAAAGGCCGATATTGTCTTGAATGTAAAAAAAATAACATATACACTATTTTATTTTTTTGAGAATGAAGATAAAGTTTATCACAGTATTTGCATTCACTGAAAAATGAAATTAGCAGTGTTCTATCAGCAGAAAGTGTTCAAATATATCCAGTACTACTTCATATGGTCCTCATGTCAAATGTCATTTTTAGTTTTTTTTTTCCATTTGCTTTCCGGTCGATCTTATTGAAACTTCGTCAAAGGATGATGGATATAAGCTTCTGTTAGTAGACTAAAAATTAACGAAATCGGCAAATAAATAAAGACGATGCAAATTGATTAGATAGTTCCATAAACTTCCCACATGTTAAGAGATGGAGATATACCTATAAATATTTTCGGCGAGTATATTTTTAAATTTGGCGTTCTACAAAACAGAATGCAAAATACTGTAATACTGAAAAGGGTTTGTGCAAATTATAAAAATTCTAGCCATGTGTTCTGCTCTCAACAAGTCAAAAGTTCTTACGTAAAGATAACTTCAGAGGAAACGTTGTTCAAGGCAAGTGCTGCGTTTATTGAGTAGGCCTTTCTTTGTTTACTTAAAAGTTGTTTGTAGGTTTCTGGAAAAGGTTCTATCAGAAGGCCCGTCCAGCCCCGATTTCTCTCGAAGTACAACGAGTTGCTTAAGTATTCCCCGTCAACGGCGCCAACCTCAACGAAGAATCCGTCTTTCTGCAACACAATATTAGGTACAGCTTTGGTCTAATGCCACAGTCTGTAGTACACACCTTAAAATACGTGCCTTACTTATAGAAAAATATTTAACATAGGTACCCAGAGGAAACAGTAGTAACCACGTTAGAAGCGTAGTAGAATAACTATTGCAGCCACACGAAAAATTGTAAGCTAGAGAACAAAAGATTTTCATACAAGAGATGTCAAACCTACCAAAGTAGCAATTTCATCGGCCAGAACGTCAAACGTCTTTGAAATACTGTTTGGGAAAGTGTCTCTTGTGACATACCAAAACGCAGTGGGCTAAATATCTGATTCTACACACATATACTGCATAACTATAGCGAAATCTGTCATAGTAGTTATATTGTGCCCTGGCCACGTAGGTAGTCAACAAGGAACAGAAGCAGTGTTCGACTCCCTCTTGTCATTGTCCATCTCAGCTCTGTTCATCAAGCAAGCAACTAACTGCTGTGGTCATTCTTGTCTTCAGGGGCAAGCTTTCCTGGTGTTTATTTCTACGCTATTCACCGTATCTCTACACTTCCTATGGTCATCTCTCTCACTCACCTCTGTTTATCTCTGTGGAATTCCCGTATTTATTTAGCCAGACCTTTGTCTTTCACAAGCCTCGAGCAGACGTGGCTTCCCCAAGCCACCCTTGCGAGGTATACCAGCTTTGTCAGCTTACTCAGCACAACTATAACTCAGCGAAGTTGTATATGAATGGTATACAGTACCGACAAGACGAAGAATTAGACACATGTGGAATTCCGCCTACCAGTGACAATCCCTAACTGTGCTGCACCTTCCTCAACTGATACCAGTAAATAAATGGTAATCTTCCTGCCTGTGCTTCAGATTCTTCAAGACTACGATGCTCATCACCTACACCTAGGCTAATGGACTGATTAGCTTGTTTTTGTATATACTTGTACAGCCTTCCCATTATACACGGCCACTTGATACTGGAGTTCCGCAGGGAAATGTCCTTGGTCCCCTGCTCTTCCTCATATACATCAATGACCTTCCAAACGTATCCCAACACCTGAACCCCATTCTCTTTGCTGACGACACGACTTATGTCATCTCTCACCCTAATCTTGCCACCCTCAACACCATTGTTAACGAGGAGCTGATCAAAATATCGACTTGGATGAGAGCCAATAAACTTACGCTTAACACTGACAAAACCTACTACATTATGTTTGGTAGCAGAGCAGGAGTTGCACAAATTAACATTGAGATCGACAACACTCTAATTGCCAGACATAATGAGGGCAAATTCCTAGGCCTATACCTCGACAACCTGAATTTCAGCACCCATATCCAACACATAACCAAAAAAGTATCCAAAACGGTTGGGATCCACTCCAAGATATGATACTACATGCCGCAAAATGCCCTTTTCACACACTATACCACTCATTTATCCATACCTCACCTATGCTATTTATGCTTAGGGATCAACTGCAGCAACACACCTAAAGCCAATAATAACCCAACAAAAAGCCGCAGTAAGAATAATCACTAAATCCCATCCCAGGCAACCCCCCCCCCACTCTTCATAGATCTAAACTTACTCCCTGTTCAGTACATCCACACTTACTACTGTGCAATCTACATCTACAGGACCTTAAATTACAATGTTAACCTTGACCTAAAACGCTTTCTTGATAGTTGTGACAGAACCCACAGGCATAAAACCAGACACAAACATCTCTACGACATTCCCTGTGTCCGACTAAACCTTTACAAAAATTCAATGTATGTCAAAGGCCCTAAAATCTGGAACACCCTACCTGAAAACTCTAGAACTGCAGACACATTCATAACCTTCAAAACTACCATTAGAAAACATCTTATCTCCCTGATACACCCTGTCAACTAATTACACGAATACCACCTGGTGGTTCACACTTACACTCATTCACCCATTTGACCATAAACAGAAATATCAATCTCAATCTTAAAATAATGAATCCTAACTAGTCATAAGTTGACCTGTGATACTCCAATACTAAAAATATGTATTGTGCCAAAACAAAAAAGCATTCACATTGCTAAACTCACAAACTAGCATTTAGTCACTTAGCAATAATACCAACTTACCTCATAATTTGTAATATTTTAAATTTAAGATTTAATCTAAGTCTGCCCGAAATGCCTAGCCATGCTAGGTGTTCTAGTGGCACCCTCTGTAATTATTATTTTACTACATGTAAACCACACAATAACCAAATTCTGTAAACTCAGCATTGTAATCCTTAATGGGAATAAACTTTGAATTTGAATTTTAAAATATCCCTTTTTAATGGGGGTTTGCCATGATGGGGAACTCTACGGGAAATTTTTGCATTATGCAGGTTGTTTCTACCTCTTTGTACTCAATATTTATGGTTTTTCCCCTCTTGGATTTCCCCCCTCCCGGGCGTGTGTCCTCGCATACCTGTTTTTAAAACTTGTAGTATTTTGTCATCCCTTTGATCTTAGATCGTTCCTCTTTTTGAGAGCCTCGGGCACCTTGGGTCCCCCTCTCAAACAGCTTCCCCGTTTACTAGTTATTCCTATCGTATTATGTTTTCCTAATATTATTACCCCAGTTCTTTGCCCTTAAAGTCATCGGTTTAGCTCCTTTAAACCCAGTTTAAACCCTTATCTCGGAAAATAAACTCACGCCCAAATCGCCCTTTTTCCCCTTTATTGGTTAGACTGAAAACTTGTGAATATTTAGTTTTATTTGCTATTCCAAGAAATTAGCCAGAACAATTTCTTACTCTTCCTTCTGTTCTAATTGCTTTTGTGTTATTTTTTCTTTCGTGAAAAATTTTTTTAAAAATTTTAAAACGTAACAGGTTTGGACAGGGATTTACCATCTCTATAGTATGCTGGGTTTTCTCTGAACCATTCTTTCCATGTGTCACAACTTTCGTAATCTTCCAAAAAAACCTTTAAAATGCTATGCTGTCAGGGGTTTTAATGCTACCGATAAATTAGACACATGTGAAAACTCTTGGGTTCTTTATTAAGGGAAAAACGTTCGCCACACGTGGCTTATCAGCCCAAAAAAAGGGGAGAAATTGATGAATGTTTTTCAAGTTTCTCCTGTGTATGGATGATGAAGCCCGTGTGGCGAAAGTTCCTTATAAAGTCCCCAAGGTTTGCAATGTGTCTAATTTACCCGTGTGGGTTCGGGTGAACCATTTCTAAAAATTAATGCTATTGCTTGTCCCCTTTTGTTCACTTGAGCTGTGTTCTATCCTTTGGTAGTGCCCTGTTTCTTGACGTGGGAAAATGCAAAAAGTGGCTCACACATTTCGATCCTTTTATGTTCATGATAGAGTCTCCTTTTTTTGACTTCAAGATATCAAGTTACTAAGAAGTCTCCCCACTCTTCTTCTGTTGTGGTATTGTTCCGTACAAATGGAGCATGATTTTTTTTCCTTGGAAATTTTACTGTTTCCCAAATTGGTATATATCTTAAATTTTTTGTTCTAACAGTTTCCTGGCCATTTTTCGTGCCCTCCATCCTTACTTCTTCAGCCTTTTTCCCCCGGGACTTACATATTCTTCTTTTTTGGTGCAATTTCTTGTATCTTGGCTCATTTTAGCTTACAGTGCATTGTCTTTCCAAAATTTTCCATTCCCCTCTTTTACAACAAAGGTGCCGTTTTTGGTCCATGTTAGTTCCCGTTCTTCGGATATTAGAGTTTTCCCTCCGAAGCTTGGTTTAAACCCGGGCTCACTCGCTCTTGAATGTACTTCTAGTTCTAATTTTTAAGTTTTCCTCCGCCTCTCGACACTCTAAATGCATACTACTTTTGAAATTATTCTACCCGATTACTTCTCTTTCAAAGTCGACTTGTTCCTTCCATCCCGCTTGTGTTCCTGTACACTCCCCGAGGGTTTTAAGGTTTCGGTATTGCAGGTCCCTGTCTTGGGGTTTTTAGGTTTAAAAATTGGTTTTTCCTTCGTTACTTTGGGCCCCGGCTTTTTTAATGTCCCCTGTAGCTGATTTGAAATTTTTTCCCCCTAAACTTAAAAATTATTAACTGCCAGGTTTCTGGCCCCCAGTTGCCGATTTCTAATTTTCCTTGTGGTGAAGGTCTTTTATGTCAGTAGTTTCGGTAACGTGGGCTCTTTTAGCCATTCTTTTATCGTGTCATCTCACTGTTTTTTAGTTTGGTGTGAGTTGATATCGTATCACACCCTTTAGTCTTTATTTTGGAGCATCATACTGTGTTATTTTCCCCCCTTTTTTCTCATGTTTATCCCTTTTATCTTCCCAAATGTCAATGGTTCTGATTAAAAAACGCTATCCTCTACCCCCTTTTGTTTCCTGGTCCTTTTATTGACATCTATGAAACAATAGAAAATTTGTCTTAATTATTATTTTTATGCTACCAAGTAAAGCTTTTATATCCTTTTATAAAGTGCAATTTATTGATTACTACCCCCCCCACAGCATTATACCCCACTTAAATTTATTGTATTACTACCCCCCCAATAGCATTATACCCACTCTAATTTATTTTATTTCTCCACCCCCCACTAGCTTTTTCCTCACTCTAATTTATTGATTCTACCCCACCCTAGCAATACCTCACTCTATTTATTTATTACTCCACCACCCTAGCTTTATACCTCACTCTAATTTATTGTATTTATCCACCACCACTGCATTATCCCTCATTTTAATTTATTTATTACTACCCCCCCACTGATTTCCCTCACTCTAATTATTGTATTATCCCCACCTGATTTTTACCTCACTCTAATTTATTGTTTTTCTACCCCCCATGTTTAATACTCTAATCATTTACCCTCTGTGCCCGTTTGTTTGTATCGGCTTGCAAAGCCCCTGGAGCAAAAAAGTGCCACAAAAAAATGTCACTTTTTGCTTTTGTGTCCTTTTATTTTACATATTCCTGAAAATTGGGGAGTTTTGCTTCATTTTGGTGGAAATTTCCCTTTAAATATTCAAAAAACACTTTGTTTCTGTATATTAATGGCTCTGAGTATTATATTCTATTTTTCCCTTGTGACGGGGGGGGTGAAGGATGGGAAAAATGTGAGGGCTGGTGTTGGAACGGTTATTTTAAGGAGGGAAAAATTTTAGGATAATGGGTGAAAAAGAGGAAAAGGAGTAAAAATGAGGGCGTAGTGGGAAAAAGGAGGTGGGGATGTTTTGCTTTAAATTTTGCCTTTGCGGTAAAAGAAGGTGGGGCATGGGGGGGAGTTTGGGTTGAGTTGGAGTATTCTGAGGTTGGCTTGCATGGCGGACTGAGGGAGGTGAAAAACGGGGTTTGAATTTTGCTTACCGGTTTCTCCTCGTCAAACACACCATCTTTCTCTCAGTTTTTCCCTCACTGAATGTTTTTTCCCCGATTGGGGACACAAGTATATTTTCGGCCCCTTGACTTTGGTTACTTTTCAAGATCAGATCCCATGTCTTTCTGTTGCAATGGGAAGTTTAATGATCACATTTTCTCCCCGAAAACCTTTAAGGTTCAGATAACTTATCCCGTGCCGGTCTAATCCCCTTTTTCCCGGGAGTTTTGATTTATATTTTCGTCTGTTTATATTCTCCTTCCCCAAAATTTTTTTAAAAACAAATTTCCCAAGGTTGTCTTTATTCATGGGGTTTTTCATTTAGATACATTTTAGCATACAAAAAATATCTTTACTATAGTTTAATTGAATATTGATAAGAGATTGGAATGATTTTAAATAGGTTAATACTTAAACAGTTTAAATTAATGCACCATTTTGGAAAGTGCCAACTTTCATTTTTTTTTTTATTTTCATATTCCCGAAACAATGCACATGGTTTCGTAGATGAGATTTTCAAGTATCCACTTAAAAAAAAAAAAACAAAATTACTTTTTCCCTTTGCAACAGGGGTATTTGTAAAAACGAGAATCTGTTTGCGGTTTTGTCTCAAAAAAAAATGTGCGACCAAAGTTTGGTGGGTTTGCCAGTGTAGATCCCTTAACAATGAGTGCATGAAATTTCCCCAGTGCTGTACAGTAAACGTTATACCCTCCCTTTAATGTATTTCCCCAGACAGGTTTTCCACCAAGAGGTGTAATCAGTGGCGAAATTTCATTTTGGGGCCCTGAAGTTGAAACTGTATGTGGGCCATTGCAACCAGTAAAGTAGGCCTAGTGTACTTAATAACCTTTTAAAATTTTTTTTTTAACCATTACACTAAGGTAAGGGGTTTAAAGTGGATGAAGTCGTTCTGGGGCCCCTTTTTGGGTTTTGGGGCCTGAACTTTAAGTTCTTTGTTTCTTAGTAGATCCCCCATGGTTGAAAATTGGGCCCATCAGTCACATGTGATGACTGCCCCACGAGGTCTGTTGAAGACTTGTTAGGCAAACCCGGGTGTTTTTTCTATTACTGTGTTGTCTTTTCGTTAGGCTGAGAGAAGGCTTTTGCTTTACCTGAGTCCCTCATGAGTCATCACCCTTTCGAGCGGTTTCCCTTTAGTTCAGCTGTGGATTGCGCCCTGGGGGCCCGACCCTACCCTCAAATAACTGCTGCCCAAGCTGTCAGAGTTGCTCCCCTACTTCCTTCCCCCGAAACCCCTCATCAGTTTCTTCTCATTGTGCTTTTTTTTTTGGGTAGTATCACCCTTTGACTCTTTTTGGTGGAATTTCCCTTTTCTCCTCTACTTATCCCTTTTTTGGGGTTTTTCTTGAAAATTTTTGTATAGTACACTTGCACAAAAACCCAAATGAGTGAATACCGCCCGTATGCTGCCCCTTAAATATGTACATAGTGGAAAATTTTTTGATACCCTTGCTGAGAGTGCGATTGCCCAAGGGAAATTTAAAGTTCTTGGAGGGTAGTCTTCTTATTAATGGGCCCCAAAAACTGCTTCCTTTCACGGCCGAAACTTTGCCCAGATGGGTTTTGGAGTGAGTGTGAGATGGTTGGTTTGGAAGGAGAAAAGGGTTTCGCAGTGGTTGGAGAAAGGCGCTGCATTTAAAAAGACAAGTGGTTTTTCAACACAGAAAGAAGTATCAAGATAAGGAAGGTAATAGAGAAGATTTTTAAGGGGGAAATGTCTCTGTTTTTCCAAAGAGGTATTCGGGTTGCGAGGTGAAAAGGCACTATTTACTGCCCCCCTTTCAAGGTAAGAAAATTCTGGTTGTAGGGGACTCTAAGGTAAAATATATTTGGGGGTCTTTTTGTAACAGGGATAGGAAGGGAAGGAGTTATTTCCTTTTAGCTGGGATGATGGTATGATGACAAAGTAAAGAGGTTGGAAATATTATTCAGTTAATTGGAAAAAGCCTATTATCTCAGTCCCGGGGAAATGACATTGGGAAGGGAGGAGACGGAGCTGCTTTAAGTTAAGTCTGCCACGAGTAGTTTGGTCTAAGGAGGGGTCCCAATTTAGGGGTTTTGCCTAGAAGGGGTTTGAAAGAAGGATGTCTAGGGGGAATTTGGGATAAATTGTGGTAGACAGGTTGCAAGGAAATTGAAATCCCTTCATTGATAACTGGGGCAAATTCATGGCAAATGATATGTATGCAGGGTGGGGTACATCTTCTGGAGTGGTGCATTAGCGAAAATCGATCGAGACGGCCATTTTGCTTGTTCGGACATAGGTTGTGTGTCAGAAAAAAATTAAATGTGCAGAGGGGGTTGAAAAAGCAGATTTACCAGGAATCAGGGAATGTTTAAAGAAATATTCAGAATAAGTTGTAGTAAAGTAAAAGCATTTGTTTCAAAAAAGGAAATAAAAAAAGGCCCAGAGAGTGATAGCCCCCCTAGTTTTACTATAAAATGAGAAGTCTAAAAAATAAGAAAAATGAGCAAGATTACTTGAAGGTAGGTATATAGATATTATTGCTATAACAGGGGCCCGGGTTCCCCTGAAAGATAGGAAATACCTTCTGAATGCAACATCGGGTTTGCAAATATTCTAAAAGATTAAAATTAGAACATCGGCCCAGAATCAGTTTGGCCCAGTTCCCGATGGTCAAGAAAAAATTAATTTTTGGGGGGATTTTTAGGGCCCCCAAATTTGGCGGGAGCCAATAAACTATGAACGAAATTCTAGGGGTCCCGATATGAAAATGTTTTGTTAGTGGGAGTTTTAAATACGACTAATTGATAGGGAAAAGTGTGACAGGAAATTTGAGTTAGTGTTTCTTGATACGGTTCAGGATTGCTTTTCAAACACTTTTTGACAGAACCAACAATTGGAAACAACCTGTGACTTGGTTCTTGCCCTCAAAGAATCACAAAATTTTAAACTTGAGGATAAAGATGAGTTGGGGAAAGCGATCACAAATATCGTTTCAGTATACCAGGAATTTCCCAAAACAATCAAGTCTCGTCCGACTTTCCCCTTGGGCCCATTTCAAGGGGCTGAGAAATTACCAGGGTGGGCGAACAGGAATGGCCCGGTATGGGGCAGGTTGGTGGTGACAGTTTCAATATAACGTTTCTCAGGCTAGTTTAGCTACCCCGACAATTATGTTTGAGTAGGGGGAAAATTTGTTAACAAAAATGATCCAAATGGGTCAAAGAAAGGGATATGTTGGTTTTAAAAGATGGGATGGGCAGTTAAGAAATCAATATATTCAATT